AGCTTCTTTAGGGATGGCGAAACGATTCTGTAAGCGGACATTGTTCAGCACCTGTGGGGAGGGGGGGGTGTATCTGATCATTGAGCTATTACACGCGACTGTCCGGATATCTAGACACAAATGTGTGGCTTCAGACACGGATACATTTCCTTCAGAGGTTTTTTTGTTAGTGTACATACACGCTACATTTTCCCCAAACTACATAAGATGACAACCAATCAATTCGATCCTAGCAGTTTCATTATAAAATTGTGTATAATAAAAAGTTGTGCTAGATCTCTAGATGTTTCAATACAAAACAAATGGCCAGCTCTCAATGGCCACACAGCCACCTTGGACTAGGTAAACTGACGCTAGTGATGGTGGAATTAAAGACAGTCACCACACGGCAATGAACTGAATTACTCGAACCGTATTTGAAATATTTTGTTATTAAACCATGGGTCAAATGTTGATCTATCGTACACTGTGAGGAATACACTGTGGGGAAATTGCGAGACGCGAAAAGCGAAATGGCGAGGCGGGAAAATGCGAGAAGGGCGCGAAAACGGTCGGTCACGTGACTTTTTTGTCTCGCATTTTACCACAAGCCGATACTTACGCTGGGTGGTGTTGAAATGCGAAGATTTCTGCGAAAAATTTACCGCACCCGATTTTCAGTGGTATTTGGTCCAGACGTCAAAGACGTTTCGTTTACATTGTTAAAACTTCCGATTTTTCCGTCGCTAGACATACTGATGATTTGTCAACTCCCCCCATCTTTTGTGTCGACTTAGAATACCACCTTGTTCGAAACCGACGGAAATACCGCCGACGATAGATCAACTTCTGTCTTTTGTGTGAAACGCCGAGGCCGCCTGGTTTACCGTCTTTGAAGATCGCCGTGCCCGGATCTGCTGCCGCCGCAAACATATTTTCTATTGTTGCATAGAAATTTTATATTATAGCCGCCGCCTTCGATTTTTTTCTAGCTTTTTTTACTATATAAATCTAAGCACAAGGAAATGCCTACATCATTTGGATACAACAAAATAAAGTGACGTCACCAATATTATCAGTTGCTCGTGCTATATTGTAAGCTATGGGCCTACTTCAAATATTTTTAAAACCAAGCTGAACTTATCTGAATTTTTTGGTTTTGGTGGTGGTGTTATTTGGGGTCTTCCATAATTGACGTCACACTCGTAGGGGGGGGGGGGTCTGTAATTTTATGTGATGAGGGGGAGGAGGGGGGGGGGGTTAGATGTGAAGTCACATTATAAAAAAGCAATGTCAAAAAAAGGGTTTTAGACGTTTTTTCGCGTTTTAGAGAACTGTTTTAATACATTTTAATAGGAATTGATTAAAATACTCTATTTTGACCGAAAGTAGACAAGATTTTGGGAAAATATCGATGTTTTAAAAAAACTCAACTGCTGGTGACAACAATGAGCAAGACATTGCCAAAATTACAGAAATGATAAAAAATACAAATTATAAAAAACGGAAAACAGATGTTGAGCGTGCGGATGATGATGATAAGAACATGGGTGCCAGTGTTGTTTGTGGGATGAACGAGGAGGTCAACTGTGATGAGAATGTGAAATGTTGTGAATGTGGATTGGAAGAAGTAGCAAAAGAAAAATGTATAAATGGGAGTCTAATGAACTGGGTTGGGTGTACTATGTGTGAAAGATGGTGTCACGAGGTGTGTTTGAGGACTGTTTCAGAAGATTTTGTTTGTAAATTTTGTTTGTAATTAAAATTACTTAATAAAAAAATAAATTGGACTTTTTTGAATTGTTTATACTTTTACACTTTTTGCAAGTACAAAAATTCATAAATAGATGTTGCACAATATCTCTCCTGCTGACAAGATTATACCAATTCACAATGACACAGCTCACGTTTGTATAAACATGAGCGGGCTAGATTTTTAAATTAATGCCGACTGAGACGGGATTTTCCTCTCGCTAACGAGAGCGGGCGATGACAGTAGCACAGCAACGATGTTAGGATTTTTAAATAGAAAGATCTAGATATAGATCTATCTATCTTCTTAGTATCTAGATAAAAAATAACAACATACAACACTCGTGTTAAAGGGTATGGCTAAATGCTTGTTTATTTTAAAACAAAAAAAAAAATCAATTTAAATAAATAAAGATGGAAAAAAAAGGAAAAAACTTTTTTCGCAAAAAGTGTCTCGCTATTTACCCTTAATTCCGCAGGTATGTCTCGCATTACCTTCTCGCATTTTCCCGCCTCGCCATTTCGCTTTTCGCGTCTCGCAATTTCCCCACACCCAATACGTGAAGCACTGATTATTGTTTATAGCATCTCTTCGAAGATACACCCCCACCCCACTCCGACAGAAATAGAAAAATATATAATTTATATAGAATTTTTTTTTTACCAGTGTCCGACCCCCCCCCCCCCCCCCCCCCCCACCACGAGAAAAATGTCCTCAAGAAAAACACTGCTGGGATGGGGTGGGTTAAGTGTGGAATTATAAATTGACATTTTTCCATTTACCTCCCCTTTGCTGGTTTAGAATTGTCCAAATTATCGACACTAAGTCTAGGTGTGACAGAGATAGTACAATAAAGTTAAAACATTCAAATCCAAGCTCCCAAAACATATTCAGTCCGAACCTCATAGAGAAAACATTAAACAACTATCTCAAAAGGATAACATCAAAAATTTATATAACATCAAAAACACGAATCCATGATTGTTATGTAACACAAAAAAAAGTCTGACTTTTTGACCCCGTCAAGCCTTCCACCCTCTACCCCCCCCCCCCCCCCACCACAAAATACACACACTCTTTAAACAGAAATATTGTAATGACACATGGACCTGCCATCTAGTCGTAGACTGGGTTAGAAAGGCGAAACCAGGGCGTGGCACGGGGGAGTCTTTATTACGGGGCGGTTAGATGAACGGGGCGCCGCGGAGGATGCGAGATTACAAGGTCTGGTGTTACCGGCAGGTCACGTGATATGCCGACGTGGATGTTGGCGTTCGTATGAGAAGGCAGAGATGCTGTAAGGTCAGAGGTGAAGAGAAATTAGTGTAATTTCATATCTACACTAAGCTAGGCGGTGTGTGTGTGTGTGTGTGTGTGTGTGTTCGTGTTTGTTCAAGGAGATGGTCGATGGGAGGGGGGGGGGGAATCTCTGTATGTACAAGATGCCCGGTTTTTTGAGGCTTAGACAAGGCTTGTAGACTATATCATATCATGGCACAAGTACACTAAAACAACTTGTCAATTTAAAGTGTATATTAATAAACAATGTTATACCTAAACAGTGTTTCTTTAATTTAGAGCGAAAGAAAAGCTGAGTTCACAAGTAGGTCATATGCTGAGATTATATGCTGAGGTTTTATGGTGAAATTTGGGAAATGTTATGCTACATCCGGGCTACATCATAAAGTAATCGATGTTACTTGGTAGGTTAGATTCTTTTATATATTATAGTGAGCTCTATTATATTTACACACACACACACATATACACATATAAATAAAAAAATAATATATATATATATATATATATATATATATATATATATATATATATATATATATATATATATATATATATATATATATATATATATATATATAAACACTTTTTTCCTCAAAATCTAACAAAGACTTTTTCCGTCAAGGGGTTAATACCGCATAAAGCAAATACCAACGTTTTTTTTACCCGTTGTTTTCTGGAGGTCAACGGGCTTTAAAGCTAGTACAACAAAATAACTGGAGAATGCTATCACGCACTGAGAAAATAAGTCCCCAGTAACAGGCAGGTAGTCCGTCTGTGATACTAGGTAACAACAGGTAGTACATGTGTAACAATGGCCGCTGAGATTAATGAGGGGTCGCGGCCAGGGTCTAGAAATGTAGGTATTAGTTGTGAGGGGCGGGGACACATGTAATACAAGATGGTAATTAGCGCAGCCGTAACCGGGGTGTTGGAGACAGGGGCTAATGGGGTGGGTGGTGTTTTATCAGGCTTAGGTTGATGGGCAGTGGAACAGTGAGACTTCGTGGGGGTACTCTAGCTGACATAGATATGAGTTGAGTTGAATAGAGAGGATTAGATGTTTGGTACAGACACCAAGATACACAGCGATACCGACATGGACTAAATTGATCTCAAACAGCGCGATACCAGAATAGACTCATATATGACACATGGCAATACCGACAGATACACGGCGATACCGACATGGACTAAATTGTTCTCAAACAGCGCAATACCAGAATAGACTCATATATGACACATGGCAATACCGACAGATACACGGCGATACCGACATGGACTAAATTGTTCTCAAACAGCGCGATACCAGCATAGACTCATAGATACATGGCAATACCGACAGATACACAGCGATACCGACATGGACTAAATTGTTCTCAAACAGCGCGATACCAGAATAGACTCATAGATACATGGCAATACCGACAGATACACGGCGATACCGACATGGACTAAATTGTTCTCAAACAGTGCGATACCAGAATCGGCTCATAGATACATGGCGATACAATTAGATATTCGTCCCTGTGAGGGGGCCGAGAATTTCTGATGTCCACGGGGACATAGACCGTCAGGTTTGAAAGGGAAACTTTACTTTTTACGGGGAGGGGGAGTATGGTCTAAATTTCAAATAGTTTGTTGACACCCGACAACTAAAACTATTTGTTATAGATCAAAACTCTAAATGCAACTATCCGCATCCGATGAAGAGTCTGCATTCAGCCGTCAGACGTGGAAACATCGATACACTACAACTCACGGCCAGTACCCGCTGGATGAATGATTGCTAGGTTAACTTCCCATAAGTTATTGAATATAGATAGCCTCAAGTTTTGATTGAAATCTAGTTAGATTTGACATATGAGATTCACAGCAAAGAGATTTAACGTACACACAAAGACACACAGTAATACTAATAAAGTAACTGACACTCGATATAAATGTGTCTACAACCAACAACACTAAATTATTCACTTACTTCTTTTGTCTCCTCTCGCTTCACTTCTGCATTGAAGAGACCTCCTCCTGCTTTAGCCGTGCCATATGCCATCTCAGGTCCTCCAGCTTTAGCCGTGCCATATGCCATCTCAGGTCCTCCAGCTTTAGCCGTGCCATATGCCATCTCAGGTCCTCCAGCTTTAGCCGTGCCATATGCCATCTCAGGTCCTCCAGCTTTAGCCGTGCCATATGCCATCTCAGGTCCTCCAGCTTTAGCCGTGCCATATGCCATCTCAGGTCCTCCAGCTTTAGCCGTGCCATATGCCATCTCAGGTCCTCCAGCTTTAGCCGTGCCATATGCCATCTCAGGTCCTCCAGCTTTAGCCGTGCCATATGCCATCTCAGGTCCTCCAGCTTTAGCCGTGCCATATGTCATCTCAGGTCCTCCAGCTTTAGCCGTGCCATATGCCCTATAAGGTCCTCCAGCTTTAGCCGTGCCATATGCCATCTCAGGTCCTCCAGCTTTAGCCGTGCCATATGCCCTATAAGGTCCTCCAGCTTTAGACGTGCCATATGCCCTATAAGGTCCTCCAGCTTTAGACGTGCCATATGCCCTATAAGGTCTATCTGGTTTTAGCCGTGCCATATGCCCTATAAGGTCCTCTGGTTTTAGCCGTGTCATCTGCCCTATAAGGTCTATCTGGGGATGTAACCGTCGTATTGGGGGGGGGGGTATTTGTGGATTTTACCGTCATATTGGGGGGGGGGGGGGGGTATTTGTGGATTTTACCGTCATATTGGGGGGGGGGGTATTTGTGGATTTTACCGTCATATTGGGGGGGGGGTATCTGGGGATTTTACCTTCATATTGGGGGGGGTGGGGGTATCTGGGGATCTTACCGTCGTATTGGGGGGGGGGTTACCTGGGGATGTATCCGTCGTATTGGGATGTATCTGTGGATGTAACCGTCGTATTTGGATTTGGCGGGTGTAGGCTACTGTTCTAGACCCACATCTTCCAGGGTTACCCCAAATCAATTCTTTAACTAGTTTACCACCAGCCTACCCAGCTTACCCACCCAGCTTAAAGCACGCCGCGTCCCCTCCCTTGGTCCCCTAGCACGCCACACATCACCGCCGTACTTACCTAATACAGCAATCACTCGAGCGAAGCAGATCACGACGCGTGCGCTAAACCCAGCCTGGCGGAACGTCCCCCACCTGCAGTCGCCAGCAGCTCGCTTAGGTAGGCTGTATGGAGGACCTGGAATTTTCATAAGCGTATACATTTCACTGACAGATTACTGACATCAAAGTAACATTCCACTCCATCCAGTCCTGGCACACCACACCATCAATGTCTGCATCACTTTACTGTGTCAGACGTTATTAGAGGGCATATGGAAGGCACTACTGAAACACCGTGATCTTATAGAGGGCATAGGGAAGGCACTATTAAAACACCGTGATGTTATGAGAGGGCATAGGGAAGGCACTACTGAAACAGCGTGATGTTATAGAGGGCATAGGGAAGGCACTATTAAAACACCGTGATGTTATGAGAGGGCATAGGGAAGGCACTACTGAAACAGTGTGATGTTATAGAGGGCATAGGGAAGGCACTACTGAAACAGTGTGATGTTATAAAGGGCATAGGGGAGGCACTATTAAAACACCGTGATGTTATGAGAGGGCATAGGGAAGGCACTACTGAAACAGTGTGATGTTATAGAGGGCATATGGAGGCACTACTGAAACACCGTGATGTTAAAGAGGGCATAGGGAAGGCACTACTGAAACAGCATGATGCCACTAGAGGGCATATGGAGGCACTACTGAAACAGCATGATGCCACTAGAGGGCATATGGAGGCACTATTAAAACAGCATGATGCCACGAGAGGGCATATGAAAGGCACTACTAAAACAGCATGATGCCACCAGAGGGCATATGAAAGGCACTACTGAAACAGCTTGATGTTGTGAGGGGGCATATTAAAGGCACTGCTGAAATACCGTGATTCATGAAGTGACATTTATGAGCACTGCTTGAGCAGGTTTAAAAATGTCAGCGTCAATTCCTTGTGTTAAAAGCTGAACCTTTAAAATAATGTCACTTCATTAGATCCCATCACTTTATGTGGGTTTTTCGTCATTTCAGCTATATCAGAATATATTCCTGTGTTTGTGTAGGTTATTCCCCTTATTGAGCTCCATCTATTCCTGTGTTTGTGTAGGTTATTCCCCTTATTGGCCTGTCCTATTGCTATGTTTGTGTAGGTTATTCCCCTTATTGAGCTCTATCTATTCCTCTGTTTGTAGGTTATTCCCCTTATTGGCCTGTCCTATTGCCATGTTTGTGTAGGTTATTCCCCTTATTGGCCTGTCCTATTGCTATGTTTGTGTAGGTTATTCCCCTTATTGAGCTCCATCTATTCCTCTGTTTGTGTAGGTTATTCCCCTTATTGGCCTGTCCTATTGCTATGTTTGTGTAGGTTATTCCCCTTATTGGCCTGTCCTATTGCTATGTTTGTGTAGGTTATTCCCCTTATTGGCCTGTCCTATTGCTATGTTTGTGTAGGTTATTCCCCTTATTGAGCTCTATCTATTCCTGTGTTTGTGTAGGTTATTCCCCTTATTGGCCTGTCCTATTGCTATGTTTGTGTAGGTTATTCCCCTTATTGGCCTGTCCTATTGCTATGTTTGTGTAGGTTATTCCCCTTATTGAGCTCCATCTATTCCTGTGTGTGTGTAGGTTATTCCCCTTATTGGCCTGTCCTATTGCTATGTTTGTGTAGGTTATTCCCCTTATTGGCCTGTCCTATTGCTATGTTTGTGTAGGTTATTCCCCTTATTGAGCTCTATCTATTCCTCTGTTTGTGTAGGTTATTCCCCTTATTGGCCTGTCCTATTGCTATGTTTGTGTAGGTTATTCCCCTTATTGAGCTCTATCTATTCCTCTGTTTGTAGGTTATTCCCCTTACTGGCCTGTCCTATTGCCATTTTTGTGTAGGTTATTCCCCTTATTGAGTTCCATCTCTAATCCTGTGTTTGTGTAGGTTATTCCCCTTATTGGCCTGTCCTATTGCTATGTTTGTGTAGGTTATTCCCCTTATTGGCCTGTCCTATTGCTATGTTTGTGTAGGTTATTCCCCTTATTGGCCTGTCCTATTGCTATGTTTGTGTTGGTTATTCCCCTTATTGATCCTATGATGGGTAGCCTTAACACACGTGACATACTTACTGTATACTTTCTGTAAGATATTTAGGCCCATATTCTAGGAACCTCTGACCTGTTTCATTCATTAGGACGCCACGGCACGCTCCAACTAACATCAAGTCGACCGTGGCACGCGATGGTAGATAGTGACAAAATATTTCTCTTCTAGGTTAGGACCAGGAGTCATCGAGTCAGCGCCACCTAGCGCTGCTTTTAATCGTCCCATATGGTGATCACTAAACAGTGGACATTTATTAAACAGCCAGGTTATGGCAAGGAGAACAAGAGATCAATCAGTGACTCAGTGAAACTAGAACTAGAGGTTATTCTTTTTTGAATACTGTCTGGCCAACTTTACTTGTTTTACGTGGAGAGGTACAGTGTGATATCAAGACATTTTTTTATGGTAGGATAGAAGAAAAGTCCTAAATGTCCTAAATATTTTGTTGTCAGTTGACGATGTTACCAACGGTCCAAAATATTTTGTTGTCAGTTGACGTTGTTACCAAAGGTCCTAAATATTTTGTTGTCAGTTGACGTTGTTACCAAAGGTCCTAAATATTTTGTTGTCAGTTGACGTTGTTACCAAAGGTCCTAAATATTTTGTTGTCAGTTGACGATGTTACCAACGGTCCAAAATATTTTGTTGTCAGTTGACGATGTTACCAAAGGTCCTAAATATTTTGTTGTCAGTTGACGATGTTACATCAACCAAATGCTCAGAGATATTTCACCGAGGTGATTTCCAGTTAGAGATCTAGTGGCTACCCCAGCAGGTGTGTTTTGGCAGGGACGCTGACCACCCCCGAAGTTCAGCAATGCGTGAGGAATGACGTCATCTGGACCGCGCGACAATACACCACCGCATGCCGTTACAGCTTGACTGCTCACCACCACCATTCTGTTAGACGCGCCTCCCGTCCTCGCCGCCACGTGAACACAGACCACCATTCAAATATTTTAATGATGAGCGTCCATTGGGGCCACAAAAGGGACGGAACTGAGTTACGCCACACTCGCTGCGTGACTGATCTCCCGCTGTTGTGGTCACTAAAAGATGACGAGTCAGATGGAGGCATAAACCAGTCGCCACACAATCCACGAGGCTGGACGAGATTTACGACCAGGGCGGTGTGTCAAACATTTCATTGGCGGGGCGAGCAACGGGGCGTTGTCTGAGGGACTAAAGATAGTGGCCATCTCAATCTCATAGACCAGAAGCTTAATCAAGAGCTCATGCTCTTTAATTAGGTTATGTTAAGGGACGTTTAGATCTTTACTCACGCTGTGTTGGATTTGTATTAGTCCAAGTTCAAACTTTTATGTGGTCAGTGTTGATAATGATCGAGCACCTGATGTAGCCACTACAGCCCACAGAGATGTGTCGTTGTCCGACATGTCCTAGTGAGGACAACTGATGTCATGAGGACAACTGGTGTCAGCAATGTCCTAGTGAGGACAACTGATGTTAGAGGTGGGAGCATCGCTGGCAGACGTGGTTGGATCTAAAACATAATTTTTAAGACAAAATTACACGTCTCCTCTCTATGATTAGCAACCACCAGCTCACCTGACCAATCGAATGATCGATATTAACTTTATTATTGTATACAGTAATCGTTTAATTATTTTAAAGACTAATTCATATATAATTCCGATATAGATGCGATATTCTTGCGATGTCAATGGAGTTTTTATGGAATTTAAAAGAAACACAGAGTCAGACAGACGAATAGAGAACATGACTGTTGAAGAAGCGTGTAATAAAAACACAAAAATGGGTGATCTGCATTCGATTTTACTAGTATTTGTAAACGCAAAAATTCCCTTTGTCGTATCAGCGAGGTCGCCATCTCAGCGTGACGTTATGTGCAGCCCAAGTGCTCCGAACGAGTATGACACGAGCTGCCAGGTTTTACACACGCTGCTTGCCATTGATACCCAGTTAAATGTATGGCAGTACGGCATAAACAGTGCAAAAAATCTGGCAAAGCGTAACGCGTCAGGTGCATTATTGTGGCTCCGCTTGGTCTGCCGCGTTACGTAAGAATACGAGCCTGTGTTACGTAAGAATACGAGCCTGTGTTACGGAATAATACGAGCCTGCGGTTGGGAAGGTTAATCATTTATTCCCTGCCATTTTTTGGAGATCTTGTCTGCTCAAGGGAATCACGTCTCTCTGGGACAGGATACCACTGTAGCAACAGTGGCGACTTGAGCAAAATATGAAACAACGTTTTATCAAGTCAAGAAATCGGCGTGACAATGGAGAGGCGCCTTTTAAGACTATGAGACGCCGTTTTATCATTTCAGGCAAAAAATTTCCCCTTAGGCAAATATACCGTGAAAGCTGAGAGAAGAAAATTGTTTTTCTAGATAACAAACTACGAAGAGATATTTAAATGCATTAAAATTTTTATCTGTCAA